GCACTGCAAACATTAAGATGATAATATTTTAATATTATCTTATGAAACACAGTGTTTTGACTGTCTTTCACTTTCCAAGTTAAAGAAAAAAATATTGAGGTGTACCCGCCAATTTCTAATAACATTTTTTAATTACTTGATTTGTTTTTACTTTTACAGGGGTGGGGGTGGAAAAAAAAAAAAATTTTCAATTATTCTTATAGAATTTATTCACTAATTTATTACCGGACCCATTTATTTAACTTGAAGATTTATTTTTTTTCAATTTTATGAACACAGACACAGATGTATTTAATGTAATATTTTCTGATGCCCAAGAAGTGAATAATCATCAGATAAAAAAAAAACAAAAAAAACCCAAAATGATGTGAGATTTTTTTTTCTGATGCACCATTCAAATAGTTAAATTTAAAAGACACTGATTAAATATTTCTGCTTTCAAAATAATGATATCAATATACAGATTATTTCTGCACAAACTATATTATAAATAAAAGAGAAGGAGTGGGGGGTTGTCTTGTAATTACATTGTTACTAACTCTCTCCAGAATTTATTATTGCCAAGAATTAACAATCACTTTACTAAGTCACTTCCAAATGAAATTCACATGGTTGTAGGTGACAGTGTCAAATTTTAAGGCTGTTTTTAATTTTCTTAAACATCAAGTGAAGTAGCGTTAATGTAGGACTTAACATAATTTTGTTAGAGTTACAAGAAAACCACTTTTACAAATAATTTAGGAAAAAAACTGACTATTCAAAGTGAATGAAGTTTAACTGGTTTAAATACCAAATGGATCTTATAATGCAATTAGATAACGATTTGTTTCCATTTATCTATGAGCAAAAAACAAACAAAAGTCAGTATAAAAAATCTAATATGGTTGTGAAAATTATTTTTGCTGTTTTATTTTTATACTTGATAGCTGTAATACAGAAACTATTTTATCAAAAATAGTTCCAAGCATCACAAATAGCACCAAACCCTACACCCAAAAGTAAAAAAATAAGAAATTTATTAAGACTTCAGCTTTATTAAAAAGAAAAAAGTTCTACATAAAAAATGTAGAATCATGATTATCAAAACTAAGTTGTCAAAGTGATCGATTGTGGAAAACCAAAGAAGTTACCTTCCCTTGCGCCTTATAAATTCTTTCAGGTTTTCTGTATTCATCCTGTTTTCTTTCATTGTACACTTGCCAGATTATATATATATATATATATATATATATATATATATATAATGATAAAAATATAGTTTTATGGTAAGCTATATTTATGGGTAAAAGTGCTCAATATAAGAGATAGAGTATGCATATATATAAAAGTGGACACTGAGGTCAACACCAAGCAGTGAGTCTTTTTCATGCTCAAAAACAGTCCTCAGGTAATGGTTATTTATTTTGTAATATTACAAAACAGTCTTCAAGTAATGTGTTGTGTTTTGGCTCATCTATTTATATATGTTGGTCAATGGTGCATCATGGGTAGTAAAATCTATTGTATTATCCTAATGGTTATTGGGCAGGTGATAACAGCTATGTTTTAAATTATTCTAGAGACTATTGAATAGAAATAATTGTGGATCTGAATGAAGTTCTTTGTATCTATCTTACAGTGTTGTTTGTTAACCTTTTTGCTCATTATTGATTACTTAATTATTTGTCGTTGATTATTATTACTACATTTACTTGTGTGTAATCGTAGTTTGTTAATTTGTTTATTATTTACTTTGTTTATATACATATATATATATATATATATATATATATATTTTTTTTTTTTTTCGGGAGGTTAGTTATCTTGTTTGTTTAGTTTAAAATATTGGCTTTATACAAAGCCAATACTTTATGTTACATTATCTGTATTATATCAGTGTATATATTTGCATTTATCATAGTTGTATTTGATTTTTAAGTAATGTAGTAAAAATTTGTTTTCTTGTCTGTATTTTGAGATGAGTTCTGATTATTTAGTAGTTGGTCAGCGAAGATAATTATACCATTTTCTCCTCAAGACAAGTTTACAATTTGGGGATTTATTGTTGCAGGCTGATGCTATTTTCCTAATATTTTTGTGATTTTGTTTTTGTTTTGTTTCCATTGTCTTTCAGTTACTACTATGTATATTTTTTCTTATCTGCTTATTTGACAGTATGTCTTGCTATACTGTCATGCAAGCAATTCCCAATTGAATTATATACAGGTGTTTTGTTAGTTATTTTTCTGTTGTGTTTCTGTTTTTATTATTTGTGTCACGTTCTCAGTGCAACTGTAGCTGATTTTTACTGTGTTTCTGTTGAACATAGTATGGAGAGTGCTTCATGGGAGAAGTGTTTGTGCATAAGTAAAATGAATATTTTTCATACATTTATTTTTATATTTTTGTTGTATGGTGGGGTTAAACCATGTTTCTTTACCTGTATTTTTTGTGCTTTGTCATGTGCATGTGAGTTTCAGAAATTCCACTATATTTTAGAGCTATTTCATAATCATTTTTGTCTTTGTTGAAGATGGTTTCATTAGAAGAATTGTTAGATAACCTACAGTTAATTGATTGTGGGGTTTGCTTGATTACTGATGGTAGGTGGATGGACAATGTTTGATTGTAAAGTGACTTGTTATTATGATTAATATATATCTTTTAGGTTGAGGGTGACATCTAGGAAATCCACTTTTAGGTTTGTTTTGTCTAACCCCATACTTTTGAAAATTCTTATTTTTCTAGTTTTGCCTGTTATTTGTCTGTTACTGTTTCTTAGGATTACGCAATCATTATCCTTGTTGAGGCCTAGATCATTTTTATCAATTATTTTATTTAGTTCATGTAGTAAATGTATATACCTGTAAGCTTTGCACACATAGCCTGAAGATTGCATTCAAGCATGAAACAGACAGCCACCGCTTGCTGTTGACCTCAGTGTCCACTTTTATTCACCCACTTAACCCATATTTAATAAACTTGTCATGTCCAAATTTCACCTAACCAAAAACTCAATTTCAGGACATGACATTTTAGGATTATTTTAATATTTTATTAATTTTAATTAACACATTTAAGAGGAAAAGTGTCTTTAGGGAGTTCACCCCCTTCTCCCATCCTGAAATAGAAGATAAATAGTCAGGGCAAAACTTACTTGTATGTAAAAAATCTTAGAGATTTGTGTTTGATTTGGTTATCAGTCAACAAGGGCTAAAAATGTAGGATCTATGAAACCAACAGTGACTGATAATAACCTACAGAAATTATAGTGACTAACTCTATATAATATCCATCACTAGTAGCAATGACAGTTGCAGAAACATTATGTAGACAAAATTCAAATGAATTGCATGTAGAGCAATCACGTTTTTAAAAACTGAGGAAACTAACAATTGATCAAATTGGCCAGTTGATTCAACACCTGCATTTCTAAAGAAAAATATCCCTGCTGCAGTTTGGTCAGTTATTGGCAAAAATTGGTCCTGTCCATAGGTAGGCACAGTCACATGCATTGTATACAACTATATCAGTCAACTGTTGGATATAATCAACAGTGTGTGTGTGTGTGTGTGTGTGTGAATTAAATGCAAATTAGTAAAAAGTTTTAGTTCTGAAACATAACTACATGGAAAATGACATTTGAGATGAAAATCTGTACTAAATTGTTTTATATAATTATTTGAAACTAATTTATAAAAAATACAAAAAAAGCACTAAAGTTAAATAAAAATTATAACCATTTATGCTATGCTTATTTTTATAAAAGCACAAGCATAGAAAAGGTGGGGGGGGAACAAACCAGATGAAAAGAATAATAATAAAAAAAAAAGGAAATCATTTCAACCAACCACCAAGAAAAGAGATAGCGAAAACTAAATTTATATAATTAAATGTTACTCTCATTTTCCTCTTATATAAGAAAATTAATATTAGAAACAAATGTTGAAGCCATGAATGTACATTGCTTGCAATCAATTATTTATAAAAAAAAAAAAAAAAAATTTTTTCTAAGGATTTAAGAACTAATATAAAACAAAATTACAAATTCTCAAATGAGAGAATGAAATGAACCAAGTGTGCCCATGCCAATCAGTGGACTTAACTGACCCCTTTTAGCACAAAACACATAGGACCAATTGCTTTTTATCTTTTAATAAAAGGCGGTATTTCATTTAAAATTTCTTCTTGATCAAATTGAAATAGTAAATGTCCAAAGAACTGATATGTTCGGCTACTGAGTGTCCAAGCTTTTGAGAGGTCACTGTACTGAGTCAATGGCTAGAGCAGACATTACTCACCTTACCATCAGTTTTAATTCAGTAAGATTTGATTGAGTTAGTGACCACAGGATTGTGTGCAAGGTGAACACAAAAATACAAAAAGGCTTCTTTTTCTCACTATGTATGCATATTTTCCTGATATGCATACACACATACGCACACACACACACACGCACACTGCAACAAAAGTTTTCAGTCTATGAACTCTTCCAGTTACAATGTACAAAAGTGTTAAACCAGTTTTGCACACAAACCCAACGCAATTTTATCTTTAGTGAAAGTGTTCATTTAAAGTCTGATTTATCAAATCATCACTTTTCATTGGCTGTGACTTTTTTTTGCTTTTCCTTTTTTCTTCCATTTAAATTAAAATGTGTGGAAATGAAAATAAGAATTTGTTTCATTTTTACTTAAAAAATCAACAAATTATTGGAAAAAAAAAGGAAAAATGAAACAAATGGAATATCTGAGAATGAAACACTTTTAAGATAATCAAATCCACTTGCTGCAATCATAATTATTTAGAGGCTATTACTTACTGATTTTATGCACAGTAAGTATAAGCATGCAGCACACAGATTAGCAATATACAATACATGTGACAAGGAGGAAGTGCCATTGTCTAACTAGCCTTGGACTACTTCCCATATACAGTACTTTTAGTAGTAGTGGTTGTAGTAGTAATTATAGTAGTAATAGTAGTATAGTAGTATTAATAATAGTTATAGTAGTAAGCAGTCAGTTAGCAGCTTGTTGTTCAGATGCTGAACTCAAAAATTCTTCGGGTCGCTTGTGAGTTTCCAATGCTTTTAATGTTGTCATGTCATGTGGCAGTTCTGATTTCCTTCGTAGTAATGGTTTTTCTTTTCCTTTCTTCTTCTGCAGCTGGAAAAAAAAGGAGACTTTTTATAACCTTAAAAAGAACAGACCACTCTTGACAACTTAAGTACAATATCTACAAATAAAATGTAATAATAGGTGCAGCAAATATATATATATATATATATATATATAAAATACCTTTAAGAAAGGTAAATTATTAGTTAAAAAAAATGTATGTAAGTGACCCAATAAAAAAAAAAAATGATCTTACAAAGGCTGTATAAATATTCTTAGGAAATTTCTAGAAATTTACTAGATCTGCCTTATGTCCTAAGATAAAAGGTATATTTTCTTTAGAGAATATTTTTTCTTCTAATCTCATAAGTATTTTATTAGTGACTTTTTGTTCTTAATTTATTTTTTCATATTTCTTAAATTCAATCACCAAATAAAATGTTTACTTCTTAGTCTAACACCAATAAAAAAAATATGTAGAACACATGAAAAGCAAGACAGAAAAAGAGTAAAAATGATTAAAAAAAAAATTCTTTTTTTTAAGGAAAAAGAAAAATATTTAATCTAACACATTTCAGTATTTATGAAATTATTAATTCATAACTTTAAAAAAAATTAAAATCACAGGTGAATATAGTTACAAGTTTATATTCATTTTAACAAGATAAATTGTTGGTAATATTTGCTAGCATATTTATCAAAGCTACATGGTTTTAAGCAACTTCCCTGCCTCTTCAAATTGTTCAGAAATTTCTAAAAGAAATATTCTTTTAAGAGGCTTGGAATCCTGCCACTTTGCAGTTTCTCACAGAAATTATACATGGCAGAAGTAGTTTAGAAAAACCTTTAAAAATATTTCTGGAACTATTTGAATAATTTTGAAATTAAAAAAAAAAAGAATGTAATCTATAAATATGGAATTCTACCTGCAAATTGAGCATGAAACTTATAAAAGAATAATTATCTCACCTCCAAAATATTCATATATCTTAGAAAAATATTTAAAAAGATGACATTTTATAACTTATAGAAACAAAAATGGTAATAATATTTTTACATAATACAGCAAAGTCCATATTAGAAACTGACACGCACGTATATATATATATATATATATATATATATATATATATATATATATATATAGAGAGAGAGAGAGAGGCAAAAGACAATGGGAAAACTGTATTATTAACTGACACATTTCATCCAATGTGGACTTTTTCAAAGCAAAAACGAAATTGGACAAAAACACATGAGCTAATAATAGTTTTCCTATCATCTTTTACCTTATACATATTGTCTTTTTCTACAGGTTAACTGAGAAAAAAAAAAAATATATATATATATATATATATATTATATATATAAAATGACTGGTCATATCCAAATATGCTTGTCTACTAGGGTGGCTAACCAACTATTGTCGCAGATGCCTGCTTAGGCACATCTGTGTTAGTTCAACACCCACACAGCCAACCTATAGGCTTATACCACAACTATGCAGAGTGAACCTTAGTTACAATTTCTGGGAGAGAACACATTATCTGGCATGATCAACTCTCTGAACAATACCAGTACATTCAAACCCAGTCATGATGACTTCTAACTTTATGCTAATATAACCATCAACAGCTCCCAAATAATTTTGTCTACTCAATTTCATGCATAAGTCTTGGGCCAACCCTTGGTGTAGTTTTCAGGTACTTTCAAAGGTGTGGCACACTGTTATCACCTCTCCAGGTCAATCACAAGAAGTCAACTTCCTGACAAATCAATCATGGGGAAATTCAATCCCATGTCTCAAAGTGAACATTCTAACCACTTGGCTACATCCCCATATATATATATATATATATATATATATATATATATAACCTCATGAAATTGTAAAATTTGTGTTTATATATATATATATAAACATGAACACTTAAAATTTCATGAGGTTATATTTATTTTGTTAGAGTAACACACACACACACACACGTTTTTATCATATATATATATATATATATATATATATGTGTGTGTGTTAAAAATATAGTTTTATGGTATGCTATATCTATGGGTAAAAGTGCTCAATATCAGAGTGTATGTGAATATAAAAGTTGACATTGAGGTCAACACCAAGTGGTGACAGTCCATTTCATGCTTCAACACAATCTTCAGACCATGTGTTGTGTTTTAGCTGAACTATTTATATATGTCGATGAATGGTGCATTATGACTATTATAAGTAATCAATAATAGACAACAAATAAGTTAACACTATAAAATAGCTACAAATAACTGCATTCAGATCTACAATCATTCTTACTTAACAGCCTCTAGAATAATTAGAAAAAGAATTGTTACTGCCTACCCAATAACCATTAGGATAATACAATAGACCACACTAACCATAATGCACCATTGACCAGCATATATAATTAGTAGAGCCAAATCACAACACATGGTCTGAAGATTGGGTTCAAGTATGAAACTGACCATTGCCATTGTTTTGATCTCAGTACACACTTATAATAAAGTGAAAAAAAAAAGAAAAGAAATCTAATATGAACAAAAGTGAGTAGAAAATACTTAAAATAATTTATGTTTAAAACAAAATATAAAAATAAATAACAATTGCCTTTTAAATACTAATAGCAATATTTTGAATTTTATGATTAGATGAAGCATTGTCAGCCATTATTCATTTTTGACTAGTATTTCTTTCATCTTAATTTCAATTGTTTTTTATTACAACTACTCAGAGCATCAGCCTATCACCATTATTAGTAATATTATCTTGAATTTTATGATTAGATGAAGCATTGTCAGTCATTATTCATTTTTGACTAGTATTAACAAAGATGGCTGCACCAACTTCCATTTAGGAAATATGTGTATATATCATAAAATATTTAAGATGCTAAGGAAAAATAATAACTCTGCAAGAAGTTAGTATCAAGATTTTAAAAAGTCATTTATTTGCATAAATAAATTATCTACAGTTCAAAAGTTTTTCTAATGTACAACTTATTCTTTACAGATAAGAACAAATAAGCAAATGCAAAATAAATTATTAGTTCATTTTTTTTTTGTTTTTTTTTTTTACACTGATTTGATATTTTTTTCTAAATTGGTTAAGGAAAATGTAAAACATAAACCATATTTGTAGATGAACTGATAATACCCTAATCACCACAAAGCCTTTCATTACATTTGAACAAGTCAAATAATGAATATAATATACCTAGTATTCTAAATTGCATTATAAAATGCTACTTTTTGAAATAATACAATTTATGATGAAACTGATTATTTTTTTAAAACATTACTGCTTATTACTTACCTCCTTAGCTTCAGATTCTAGTCTGTCTAAACTGGCTACCACATCTCCCTCTTCATCTGTAACACTATTAGAGTTATTATGCCGGTTATTTTCAGGAGCACGTGGTACGGAGTCAGTGGGTGACTTGAGCAGGGATATGGTTTTAAACTATGAGAGAGAGAGAGAGAGAGAGAAAACTTCAGTTAAGCTATGGATAAAAAGTGAATGGATAAAACTGAAAGCAAGGCAAGAAGTACAAATAGTCTTCAGAACAAATATTGTATTAGATATCTATTCTATTTTCTTCTTCTTCATCAAAAGAGGCATGTATAATGATTACATTGTACCCAATACAATGGTATTATGGATAGATGGTTGACCACTAAAGGTTCAAGTTGTACAGTGATGGTGAGTACAGGGTTAGGGAATAAGATTTAAGTAAATGCTTAAAAGTTCAAATTTAATCCACTTGTAAACTTTTAGAAGAATAACTAATACTAGCATAAAACTATTAAAAATAGCAAAGATTATTTAGATAAAGATTATTTACATCAGCTTTTTGAGTTAGTGTAGTAACTGTGCACTATGTGAAAAGTTCTGGACATACTAGTGTATGTGTTTTTAAAAAAAGTAAATGAATGATAATGGAATGTTAGTTTACATTTTTATTAGTTATATACTAATCTATTTGTAACTTTGTATTACCAACAACATTTGAATAATCTATTTCACCTATTGACTGAAGCAAGGGAGATTAATTTTCAAGGTTTATAATGTATGTTTATATAGATACAGATTTTATCCCATAAGCATTATTTTTAGTGGATACACATATTTAAGTAGACATTGTGTTAACTTATTAAACAGTATGTTTATTTTCATTTACCAGGTTGAATATTTGAGAAAATATTTAAAGAAAAAATAGGCATTCTCCAGCAGGATTTGAATTTGTGTCCCTCACCTTTGCAGGATAAACCATTGTAGGACTTAATGTGCTCCAGACCAACTCAGCCATGAAGTGTGTCACTGATCAGGCAAAGTCGAATAGTTGCCTTATAAATGCAAATCTTTCTCAAAACATTCATATCTGCTCAGTTTCATATCTGAACATAGACAAAGCAATTTCTAAAGAAATTGATTTTAATCCATTACTTCTTTACAAATAGATACAGATATAAACAAGTAGGTCAAATGGTTACCTTTTCACTTTGATTTTTGTCATCTTATGAAACATGAAGTAAAAAATATGCACACCTATATTTTTACATAAGCATCTGATGATGGTTTATATCCAATCAAACAAAGAATTAGAAATTAAATGACTAAATTTTCTTATTTAGATGGCAATCTTGGACCTTTGTGCACCCCACATACACACACAAAAATCTATGTCAAAAAGTGATTTTTCCCTTGACACCACTATTATTTTAACTACCTTCACTCCTCAGCAATGTTTATTCTTTTACAAAGTGATGATTAGAATTTTAATAAAACCTAAATATATGAGAGTGAATTTATAAGTTTTCTTTGTTCTTGAGAATTGACAACAAAAATAAACACTATTATTGTTTATTGGAAACATTGCTAATTGGCAATTGATTTGAACTTTATAAAATGGTAAATAAGAATTTCCTTATAGTTGGTTCACATTTCAATAATTTACTAAATGTTTATAAATTTATAAATAAAAAATTGTTTTCATATTTATTCCTTTATAAATTGGTAAATGATAAAAATTACATTGCATTAGTTTTAATACAACTGTATTTTAGTTTTTAGAATGTTGTAAATATAAAATTATTTTTGTAAATAAACAATCTAATAATGGTGATTAATATTTTTATTGTAAAAGAAAAAAAAATGTATAAATTTCTTTTGATCATGTTTAGGTTTTTATTACAATCCTAATCATTTCTTTTTAAACAGACATTGGCAAGGAGTGAAAGAAGTTAAAATAATAGTGGTGTCAAGGGAAAAAAAAATCATCCTTTTAACATTCCAATTTTTTTGCAAGCATGAATTAGTATAATAATAGTTGAAATACATTTTTTTTTCATTTCAACAGAGGAATGCAATGTGTGTAAGCAGATTTAAAATTAAGTCAAATTTTTCATCACATTTCCAGCATTTAAAAATCAAAAAGTAGCTTTATTTACTAATATATATATATATATATATATATATATATATACACACACTATAATTTTTCTAAGGGACTAAAAGGGATATATTGAAATGGAAGTGGCAACCTTCCTATGTGAATATTCTAAATATGGAAATAATTTATGTTAATTTGAACAACCTGAGGGATACAAAATTTTATTATTCCTAAAAACATGGACATATCAAAATAACTGTAAGGTACATACAAAGATAAATTTATAAATAACCAACAAACAACAAGGATTTGGTTAGCAAATTCAGTGCTATGGGAGTTGCAAATACACAGGACATTTCTCTGAGCTACCCAATTTGGGGTTCTTAAATTGCACCATTTTTATTTTATTATTTTTGTTCTTTTCCCCATATTTGTTAGTTATTCATAAGTTTGTCTTTGTATGTACAACATACTTATGTTAATTTATACAGTCTATCTTTTCTTTTCCATATGTATAATCTATCTTATGCAAAAAAAAAAAAATTAAATTTCTTAACCCACTACAATAACTTTTTATCTTGAGTAACATTAAGTGAATTTCATTAAGTTTAATTTCAAGAGTAACATGTTAAATTCACTTGTATGATAAAAAACATTGAGAACAAAAACATTTTTATCTTCTATACTGCCAATTAAACCAAACCAAATATCTAAAAACCCAAAACTGTTTAGTTGCTAAGGGAGATAATAAGCATTTAACAAAATTTATTGAATTCCTTACCACATAAATCACAGAATGTTTATTTTTATCAGATTAAAATAAAAATCTGACAATCATTTATCTTAAAATGTATATCATGTTAACTATATACATATTTATTACTATTTCTTTTAACTTTATATTAAATTAATTTGTTTGTAGCAATGTTTGAGAAAAATATTTCCCAAGAATGATCAAATTAACCCCTTCCTCTAATCCAGGCATGGATAACCTTTTTTGAGCAGTGGACACATGATCGATAATTCATCACAAGGTGGGATGCACTAATAAAAAGATTCAAAGTCATTTTTCATAGTAGGTACTATTTTCACTAAAAAGACCAAATGCATAAATAAGTATATGCAGTAGAAATGCCAAGAAAAGTTGATTGTTTAAAATGATGAAAGCATTATTTTCACCAAAAGTTTACAAAATTCAAGAAACATTGTACTTCATCATTGTTCATGCATGAGAGTGTGTGAGTGAACAAGTGAAAACAAATCATTTTAAGAAACATTATTTTCCTTGTGAAATTAAGCATACCATTTAGAAAGAAACAGGCTACACCTTGACCATGACTGCTCTACACAATGACAAGCCATATTCATTTCTTTCATATTATTATATTATTACAAAATTTAAATAAGATGGAAGTTTTGTTAAATAAAAATGTAAATATCCTTCACAAATTGAGAGTGAAATAAATTTCCATATAATTTATCAGGATTTATTTTAATTTATTCTTTATTAATACTTAAATGACACATTCTGAATTAATTTTTTACTAGGATTTATGTCATCTTTATTACTTAAAAAAAATATACTTAAATAACAGAACATAATCAAGTTATATTTATACTTCTGGATAATTGAATGACAAATTGGGAATAAACTTCTACATTATGTGTTTCATTCCTTGAAAGGACTTCTTCAGTTTAATAATTATAAGAGAAACTAATTCATTGAAGCAATAATCTATTAAAAGTGCACTAATAATCCATCCATGGTAAATTTGCATCATACAACATATCACCTTTTCTAACAAATCTATTGCTATTAACTACAATAGCAAAGTATAAATAAAAACAAAACCAATAGAAAGTTCAACGAGTCAAACATTGGCCAACTTATCTAGATATATCGGGTGATGACTAAAATTTAAAAAAAATTAAAGTCAAGCATCCCTTTGGCATTTCTTAATGTCAAGTTTTTAACCAGCATTTGTTGTATTTCTTCTATCATTCACATATAGAAGATTGCATTGATAAAATCATTGGTCTAAAGAGATCCTTCCAAGGAACAAAACACATAATGTAAGAGTATTTCCCCTGCCACCATTTTGTCGTTTAATTACCTACTATTAGTCTTATATATAGATTTGTATCTATTTCTCATTTATACATCTATAAACATCCTTTATGAATAAAAATTTACATTTCTAGATCATTTTCTTTATTCTCTATATATTTAATATTACAAATTTTACAAGACTGCTTCCTATGTGGTAAAATGTCTCATCATATGCTTAGATTAAATATAAAATCATTACAGATTTTACAAAAATTTATATGCTATTCAAAAGACGCAATCTGTGATAGTGAATTTCTGCAGCTGATCAGAAACAAATCTTAAAAATATTAATATAGTTTTTTTTTAAAACTATATTTATATGAATAAGAAACTTGAAGGAGTTTTATTTTTGATTCCATTTAACCTACAATTACTAAAAATTCAAGCAGTTTTTTTCTCCACTTTTCATTCTATGATTAATAAGGGAGTAAAATTTAAAAAAATAAATAAATAAATTGAACATATTTCAAACTTTGAGAAAAATGTAATTTTTTTGGATAATTGCCGACTTTATTGAATCACTTTTAAATATCAAAAAGATTCAATTAATATCTATTGCAAAAATATTTTCCTATAATCTATAAAAATCACTGATATTGAATAAAAACTAATTACTTCAGAATCAATTTGCAATTATATCATGTTTAAAGTGATACATAAATGAATACAATTATTTTTCATTAAAGAAATATGAATACAATATCAAAACAGTTTAAAAGTAGTTTACTTTTAATTATAAATAAAATGTATTTTTTATAATGCTTAATTGTACAAAAGTAAAAAGATTACAAGGATCAAGATAGTTTTTATGACTTGCAATCTATTTTATACATTTCTGTTTTCTGTTAAAATGAAAACATTATTTTAAAAAAAAAAAAAAATCTAATGTAAGAAGCTCATGAAAATAACATTAATGAGCTTTTTCTCTTCATGCTCCATCTACATGAATTTAAGTGGCAACTAGGTCTCACCATTTTATCGTTCAACTAGATGGATACAAACACCACTTCAACTTTAAGTTTCTTTTCTCGCACTTCCCACCTATGGAAGTCCCTTCTGTTTTCTTGTTCCCCTGATAACTGAATGTTATCCCTAAAATCTGTACATATAGGAAATCTCATTAAGTATTTTTTTTTTTTTTTAACTTTCCACATATTAAACATGGTTTTGTCAAAAGAATTTTTTTTTTGAAGTATGCTAAAGGAGAAGGTGTACTCAAATGAAAATCACAGATGCAACACACAATTGAATGCATAAAGAGTGAAATTGATGGCATGGAGTTCATGAGTCTTGCAAAGCACATCAACTTTTGTATCACAAACAATGGAAATCTTATTGAAGATGTTATTTGTTAATATTCCAATTCAATATAATATTGTTAAAAATTTAATTTCTTAAAAATATGCATTTTTGCCCGTGTCCAAACTTTAGGGATACCCTGTACAATCTTCAAAAATTTAAATGCAATGTCAATCACCATCTTGTTTTCTTCAACCATGTTCTTTTTTTTTCTTTTTTTTTTTTTTGTCCTTTCCTCAATCCTCCCCATTCTCAATTTTCTCATTTCTTTCACACTCCCTGTAACCCCAACTACTAAGCAACTGAGAAAAAAGCATTCTAAAACTTATAGAAAACTATTTTGTATATGACATGTAAAATTTTTTAGACAGGATTTAAAACTTGCTAAAATAATTTATTTTAAAAAAAAGATTTTATTAGAACCATTTCAAAATTAGTATTTTAGAATTAACATAAAATGAAATTTTAAAAGCAAACATGTTAAAGAATTTGTAAATTGAAAGAATGTTAAAGCAATGAAGAATTAAAACAAAACGGATGATTAAGTCATGTGGATTTTACAGACCTATTTTTCTAAACACCAAAACAAGACTGTCTTTTTGTTGCTTGATACAAATGTAAAACCTAATTAGAATTTATTTATACTAAATAGGAGTAAAAATATTTTGATGTATCAGACACACCTGTAACTTATATTGGTAAGGAAACGTTTTTTCACATTAACATGCACAAGTAAAATAAAATGGTTTTCAATTTGCCCAATAGTTTTTATTCTAGACGAACATTTTCTTAAATATACAGATAAGTAAGCAAATATAGGGTAATAATAGTATGAAGAAATCAAGTTGCTGCAAGCAGACATTAATAGCAAAAATAGAATAAAAAATATTATAATGATCAGATTAAGGCAGTAATACATTAAATCATTAAGCCTTCTATACATCCATAAAACAAATTTATATATATATATATATATATATATATATATATATATATATATATATTTTGGCAGTATGTTTTCATTGAGACAGGTTTCATTGAATAATTTAGATATGTTCTGTCTACTTATTTTCAATTAGACCCTTTCATTTTTTTGGTGTTATTGAAGAGTGAGAGAAAAATTGCTGTGTTGATACATATTTCTTTTATTCTGAGTACTTTTGACATAGCACAATGTCATCATTACAAATATTGTAGTGCAAATTCTCACTCCTGTGTATCAACTAACAAAAATCATCAACCAACTTATCACACCATATCTTCCTAGCAAATACAGCATAAAATCAGCTCTTGAAGTAATTCAAATTAAAAAAAAATGGAAAACCTAACAAATGAAATCATAGCCTTACTCGATGTCAAAAACTTATTCACTGATGTCCTTGTTTACAAAACTATTGATATTATAAGAAACATACAATAATCCATCTCTACCTCCATTTAAAATTAGGCCTAGTATATTATGGAAACTACTGCTAACCTGCACTACCAAAGTCCCATTCTATAATCACAAAAATAACATATTTAATAAATTTAAATATCCCTCCATCTACTTAAGATGGATCAATATCCTTATATTAGTCAAGAATATTGGAGAAATACATAAACTCCAAAAACAATTCCTGTATAATTCTGTCCTTATGTTTACATATGAACTTAATAACAAAATTCCTTTTCTAGATATACTGATAAACACTAATAACAATAAGTTCACTATCTCCTCATATAAAAAAAAACTACCAGCATGAATTCCTTTACCCTAAACTATAAGAGTGAATGTTTAAATTACTGTAAAGTAGCAATTATAAAAAATCTAATAAACTGTACAAAAATTAATTCATCTACAAAACAGATTTTCTTCAGTGAACTAATATATATATATATATATATATATATATATATATATATATAGTGTAAATAATGGTAACTCCTCACTCCAGAAATTCAAACAAAAATTATGATAATACTTGAAATCTCAACTGTTAAAAAAAACATGTCATAGTATCTGATTATGCTATCATATATCTGAAATGCATTATACTTCTTTTCCCAAACTATTCAATTAAGTCAAATTATGAATAGAACTCTAGGAAAATAAGTCTGTTTTTCTATATCGTTTACAAGTACTTCATCTAAAAAATGTAATTAAAAACCATCATTGAGATTTGCATAAAAACGTTAAAATTACCTTTGGATTTGTCATGGCTAAATTTTGGACCTTGTTCCATGCATCATCTCTTTGTTTGTTCCTCTCTTTCTCTCTAACACAAAAAAATAAAATAAATACAAAGTTCAACATTTAGTCAAACAACTATTAATAAAGAGAAAATTTTAAACACTAATTCAAATTTGTAATTCTTTCATTTTAAAAAAAAAAAATCCAAAAAAATGAATCACAAATATTTTGTTGGGTTGTCCATCACAAGCAGTACAGCTAATGTATTTGTAAATGTCATTCAGAGCTTTCCTTCCAATTGAATTTCCTATTTAAATATCCATTCAACTTGCTGAAATTGTCATACACAATCTGATACTCATTGTTTTTTTTTATTAAACCTGAATGATCTAGAGGAAACCTTTTAACAAATTTTGGTCCATTTGTTGTAAAGGTGTTGACAGGTTTAGCATAATTGTTGCTAGACATCTATCAAATGACCTCACATATTGTTCAATGTCTTCTGCTAGAGTCCATGCCAGTCGGCATAGCTTTTTGCAATATCTTTTTACAAATCATTCCAATAGACATTATTTGTTAGTGATTTTTGTATTACTACTTTAGAGTCCAATAAAAAAAAAAATTAAAAAAAAAAAATGGAATTTTCCTCTTCCAGGCTTTCTTTCCCTATCACAAAATTGTGTCCTTTTTTTTGTCTCCCTTGTTACTTCAGTGGCTGACAGAGTCTCTCTCTTCATCTAACATTAATATTATGTTTTTCACTTGTGGAATCTGTTTGCTTGTAATAGGTAATTCTAGAGGTCTGTCCGTATTCTTGTTTACTTGACCAGATTTCTATTAGATTTTACAGCTATGTGCTGATAACATCAAACTCCATCTCTGAATACAGATTTCTGCTAAGTTTGGTATTCAGTTTTCCCAAGTCCTAACATGAGCAGTTTGTGTGATCTCCAGTGATAATTAACATTCTTTTGATTGGGGGAGTGGGGGTTGCTACTTATTCTCCCCCCAAACAAGTTGAATTTGTCATTTCTGCCACAAAATCTTATGTTTAGTCATAAAAAAAAAAACCCAGCTGCACTGCTGTCAATCCAAACTGGAGTCTCAATGGCTTATAGAGTTTCTTATTTGTGGTGATTGTAAGCATTACTTGCAATTTCTCATCAAGATTTAGCTGTACATTTAGCTTGGAGAATTTCTCTCCTTCACTCAGTATAGACAAAGGTCTTCATTAAGCTTTCCTGAAGGTATCAAATCTTTCAGTAGATTATATGTTTCTGGGCTCAAATTTGTAAGAAAATAGGCACACTTAATCATCAGTATTAATGGCCACATTTATGAAAAATAAAAAAAAATGTAATCATTCATACTAATTATTGCAATGTTCATTCCATCTTTGTTTCATCAGATATTGGATTACCATTTAAAATTTATATTCTCATCAGTTGTTTTACTGCTTGAAAATCTGATATTTCTGGTAGTCCAAGCCCATCCAGAAATGTCAATGATATGCATTAAAGCAGACCATTCTGCCACTTCCAGTGAGTCAGGTTGAAAAAATTCTTCAGAACTTTGTTCAACTCCGAGTGTGCATGGTCTACTTTGCCCCATCACCCACCACACACACAGAAAAATCCTCTCCTTGACAGAGTATAGTTTATAGCAGCTATGCAAGCAAATGTCTGGCTTACCTCAGCTAATCACATACATTTATAAAAATAAAGTTTAGTGCTTATAATTTAAATGTGTTTTCACCAGTTCAAATTTGAAATGATAAAGACTATATGGCCTATTTTATGTAAGTTTACATTTTTTTTAATTATCTTTGAATAATTTCAGAATTTATCTTCTGTGCTGTGTCCCTTCAAGATGTTGGTGATCATGGTTCTCCACAATTTCCTGTTCTTTGTAGCTCTTAAAATTTTGTCTTTTTACTTAAACCCTGTTATGCTATCCATTTACACAAGCTCATTAGATAGGTTATGTGCTACTTTCAACATGTCCTGTAAGTGTCAAATTTTCCAAGTCTTCTTTCCTCATTATGTGCCCTAGAAATTTCAACTGTCTCTTCTTGATGTTAAGCATAAGTGTCTATTTTGCTTCTATTTTTTTTTTCTAAAACTTCATCATTGCTCACATGTTCAATCCATGGTACCCTCAGTATCTTTCTGCAAAACCCCATTTCTGTTGATTTAAATCTATTCTTCATCTTTGAGGAGATTGTCTAGCATTCACTGTCATTTATTAAAGCTTGTTCTTAAAGTAATTTCAATATTTTACTTACAAAGGAGAAAATCATTGAACTGCATATATCTTCCAAAAGAGGCTCAAAATAATGGATAATGTTTGTTCTTTTAAGTTAATAAGCAAGAAAAAAAGTCTTACCTTTGTCGTTCTGCTTTGTATTGCATGGTACAATCATCAAATAACTTCTGATTCATCTCCATAAATAATTTCAAAGCATTGTATATTAAGCCATGAATTGTCCTGAAAATAGGAAACCAAAAATGTAATTTGTATCAAGTTTTAAATTTCTTTTCAAAGAATTTCTTTTTTAATCCATATTTAATCATGAGAAATGCCAGCATAGGGAAAAAGTACTATGATTCATTATTTAAGTATACACACACACACTTATTTCTTTTGTTTTGGGATCTGATGAAGCCTAGAAAGGCAGAATGCATAATCAAATCTAGTTTCAATGAAACGTTTTTCCATTTGTCAAATTTCTTCAAAACTTTGTTAGGATTCTATATTCCATTTCAAACACTATAAATGAGCTGATTTTCTGTCCATCACACAATGTCTGCTCATGACTTTGTATGCATGTATGTAATGTTTATGTGTCTTGCACATAAGTGACATACATATCTTTGTGCTATTTAATATACACAAAATACACATAATTTGATAATGTTATATACTTAGGCCTTTAAATTTTTTAAAACAAAAAAGTAAAAACGAACCCACTTAAATACAGTTCATTTTTTTTTCACCTGCACATGATTTTGAAAGTATCTATTATTCTACTGTCTTATTTCAATAATAAGGACCATTCACTTGTGTTAAATATATAAATAAATTAGCAGGTATAAAGTATTAAAATTTCATAAAAATATTTGTTACATAAGCAAATTCCGGCCAAATTAATTTGATAAATAAACAATGAGCATAAAATGAGTGTATGGCATTTAAAATAATGGCAACAAAATGAACTCAAATAAAAATGGCACAAGTGGAATGAGAAGAAAAAAATGGCATGACTAATTTCACAGTGAAAAAAATTTTTTAAACCCTAACAAAATCAGATAATAATATGACTACATAGGCAATAAATAAAATTATTTTTAAAAGCTTTTTTTATTTAATTTTTTTAGAAAATTTTTTAGGTTTGTCATTAAATGTTAATACACAAACATACACAGAATTTGAATGAATTGAAAATGTGTCATAAGGACTAATTTCCTTTTCTGTCTAACAACAACTTTTTGGATACAAAAAAGGAGTACATGATAAAATGTGCAGCTCTTTGAAGACATTTTTAGGATTCCTTTTGTATTTAAACTAAACATTTTCTAATAAATATATTTTAGATGAGTGAACAATATAGATTTTAAATTTGGTCATATTGCCATTAATAAAGTAAGAAGAATCAAACAAATTTATATAATATTTAAGTATTTAATTTTTTTTCTTAATGATTCAGTTATTATCACAGTTAAAACATGGAATCTTAGCACATATCAATGTATGCCATTAATCAAGATAAATAATATTGATTTTTCATTTTCCATATATATTTAGAAAATTTTGCTTTCATTCATTCTTTTGTATGTATTAAAACTAAATATTCAAGAATTAAAAAAATAAAAAAGTTAATAAATTAAACTATTTTTGTAAGAATAGTAAAACTTTTAACATGTTGACTGCTATGCCACCATATACTAGTGACTTGGCATTTCAGTTTAAAGTGTGTCTTCAGATACTGGTAACAGTTATATATATATATATATATATATCTCAATTGTGTGAATGACAGTGGCTCATAAAGCCAGCCATTGATCTGCATTTCTTGTCACATATGTGGTATATCATCTCCGGGTGTTGGAAGGAGACTTTGATCATCATCACTTCCAATGTGCCTTTTCATATGCCTTGTCAGGCCTGATCTAGACTTGCACACTAGTGCAGGTTGGGCATTCAAAGCATGTGATTACAAAATCATCATATACAATAGTCTGTTGATGTGATTTCTTGTGACTGGGCAGACCCGCCCTAGCCAGACATATCTGATTGCATTGGGCACATGGCCAGGTTGGCACCTCATGGCAATTATGGGATCCCTTCTGTACCCTTCTCTTTAGTTCTGCATATTTTTGTGATGCCTCATGGAAGATCTTGACGCCATCAGTAATAGCAGCTCTCCAAGAAACCCAATCTTCAGCTGGAGTCTCCCAGTCATCCAGACCAACACGGTATTTGTACAGTGACTCTTTAAGACAATCTTTGTAACAAAGTTCCAGCATGGGCTGCGATCTTTTTCCCTTTTCATTTTCTTCATACATTATTTGTTTTGGAATTCTGTCATTCCCATATGGACAACATGCCCTGTCCATTGCAATCTGTACTTGTGTACAAGTACTTCCGTAGAGAGTGAATTGGCTCTTTGTAGAACAACAATATCAGGGGTGGGAGACATCTAGTGGATATCAAGGAGAGACCTAAGGTATCATTGAGGAAAACGTTCCAGTATTTTCAGATGTCTGTGATAGACTACCCATGTCTCACATGAATATAGTAGAGATGACATAACACAGGCATTATATATTTTAATTTTTGTCTGTTTTTTATGCCTTTCTGGCTCCAGACATGGATCTTGAGTGCTGCAAATGAATCAGTGGTCTTCTTAATCTGTAACGCTATCTCATCATCAAGAGAGCAATATCAGTTGAGGGTGCTACCAAGGTATACAAATTTGTCAACTACCCCAAGTTGACTACCATCAACATAAATTGATGGCTCTATATACTGAATTCCTTGGGCAGGTTGATACATCACCACTGTCTTGTCAAGGCTTATGGACAGTCCAAAAGCCTTACATGAACCTGATAGTCGACCTATGAACTCCTGCGCATGCTGAATTGTGTGTGTGACCAGGTCACAGTCATCGGCATAGAGAAGGTTGTGCACTAAACTTAATACTTTTGTACTTGTCACAGATGATCTCCCTTTTCAACTCCATTTTCAACCTTGATGGACCCTGTAAGCACACCACCAAAACTGATACAGCCTTCCATACTGTCATGAAAGGGTCTCAGAATCTTGAGAAAGTGAGGTGGTGGGGGACAACCCAATTTCAAGAGAATCTTCCAGAGACCAGCACAATTAACAGTGCCAAAAGCCTTCCTCAGATCTACAAATATTTGATATTGGGCCAATTGTTCTTCACAACTCTTTTCTTGGACTTGTCATGCTGTAAAAATCATATCTGTGGTCCCTCTGTGTTGGCAGAAACCACACTGTGACTCAGGCAGTATATTGTCAACCTCTTCTCTGGTTTAATCTTAAGAAGAGAACAGAGGCTAAGATCTTACATGCCAAAGAAAGGAGAGCAATCCCTCTATAATTACCACATAATTCCCAGGCACCTTTACCCTTATATATAGATATCATCTTTTGGCACTTTTCCATCTCTCCAAACTTTTACAATAAGATCATGCATGAGTTGACTTAATCGTATCCCACTGTAACAGAATATCTCAGCAGAAAGGCCATCAACTCCAACAGCCCTGCCTATGTTGAATCCTTCCATGCCATGCAGAACCTTGCCCAGCAATGGTTGGCTATCAAGTTCTACCACAATGGGCCTTTGGGGCATTTGTTTGAGAATCTCAGGGTTGACATTTGAAAGCCTGTTCAGTAGCCCATCAAAGTGTCTCTTCCATCTTTTGGTCATGCCATCCATGTCTGCAAGGAGATCATAGCCATCCTCTGTCCTGAGAGGAACGATCTTGGTGGGTCTGGGGAAAAATACTTGTTTCAACAGCAGTACACCTGCTTGGTTTTATTTGAATTTTCTGCATTCTGTATTTCATCTGCTAGTTCTGACCACCATTTTTCTTGTATTTTTGCAGCTTTAAACTCCTTGCACAGTTCTTTGGACAGGCCTTTTTGCAACACAGAACTTTGTATCTGATTCTTTCTTGCAATGATCTTGATAGTATCTTCATTTTCATCAAACCAGAGTCTCAATGTTTTGCTGACATTTTACTCAAAACTTCCTCAACTGCTTCAAATATATATTCTTCTTCAAGGAGTCCCATGAAGATGTATCATTGATTTCAGCAAATTGTCATTTTAGTGATTCCGGTGTTTCCAGGAGTGCAATTTCACAACATTCAGACAGGCAAGAAGCTTTCCATTGTTTTGCCTAGTTGCTGGTTTAAGAACAAAATTCATCTTGGCCCTCACTAGGGCATGATCAACCCAACAATCTGTATCACACATAGATCTAATACTACAGACAGCCTGCATATCTCTCTTTCAGATGATGACATAATTAATGAGATGGTGTGAACCAGGATACATCAATGTAGTAACATGATCACCCTGTGCTTGAATTGAGTGCTAGACATAAAAAGATTAAACTCTGTGAAAAGTTCAAGAAGCATTAAACCATTGGTGTTGATTTTCCCAATACCATATTTTTCCCCAAACTACTACAGGTCTCCCAATCTGCACCAACTCAGGCATTGAAATCACTGAGGAGAACAATCTTGTCATCTTTTGGAATCATGTATAGTATACCTCCCAAGGGCTCATAGAACTGAGCCTTTAAAATGTCAGTACTGTGTCCATTGTTGGAATCTAGGCACTAATGTAGCTTATCATGATCCATTGAGAGGTAGTGTAGCCATCTCTTCTTGAAGTTGCCCATCATCAGCTAAACAAGTTTCCAAGGGAGCAGCTACATCTATAGAATATCTCTCTAGCTCCCTAGGCACCAAAGCTGTTCTGCATTTAGGAGCAAATCCCAAAGGATGAGAGTCCATACATTCCAACAAGATAGAAACTAAGGATGAAACTGAAAGTTTTTTTTTTACTTTTGTTTGAGCACAAAATAAACATTGACCAGCCACATTATACTGGCCAGATGAATGAGACAAGCAATTTTTGGGTCACCTTCTCTAGACCCTTCCAACAATCTTCTGGTGAACAGTGCTTTCCTTTAAGAGGCTGCTCAGACACCCCAGGTGGGACCAAAAGCCACCGGTCTCAATGAAGGTGAGCTACCGACTTTATATCTACCCAGAGGCTACGCACTTCCAGCCCATCAGAAAAAAAACAAAAAAAAAACTACAGATTACTAAGTTGTCAGTAATGCCCGTGTGGGTTTTAAGGTTGGATACAGCTTGCACAGCACTGCATCAACACTCACCACAAAACCACATTGTCCAGAGTTGCAAGATATCTAGTGTAGCCTAGGAGACTACCAAAAGTGCATCTGGATACTAGACAAAATATTTTTATGGCCTTGCGCAGAGATTGCTCTCGGAGGCTCATCTGCCATTTGACAGGTCTTGTTTTTGTCTTGCAGATTTTTCTAGTGCTACCCTCTTCATCAGGTAGACCTGGTGGGGGAACCGGTTTAATCACCAATTACCTGACCATGCAACAGGTAGTACTGGCTCGAACACAGGATTTTGTAGTCTAATAACAAAATCAATTCTCTCTCAAATGATCTCAAATTTTAACAAAATGCATAAAAACTAAGCTGACTGTGCGGATTTATCTCAATGAGAATCTACCAGGAAGATGGATCTCAGGTATGCCAGTGATAATGACAATGTGATGTTGAAATGGCCACCATCGCTCACCTGACTTGACACCTTCAGATTTTTTTTTATCTATGATGGTATGTGAAAGGACAGATCTGTATCTCACCTTTTCCAACAAGTCTAGGGGAACTTGAGCAGTGAATCACTGAGGTGCTGTAGAATCTTACATAAAATATGCTACAGTGCTTGGCAGGAGAGCTGGACTACCGACTTGACATGTGTTGTGTCACAGGTGGTACAAATATTGAAGATTTGTGAAATTGGTTATGAAATCTACAGCCCTTGTTCAAATGTTGGCAAATAAATCTTCTATTGTTCAACATGAAGCCTATTTAATTTACCTGGGACATGTAATTACTTCATATTTTAAACGGCAATTTTTTGGAAACACTGTGTGTGTGTGTGTGTAATTAAATTTATATTTGGGCAGTAACCATTCTTTCAAACAGGTTTCACTGAATATGACGGACAAGGAAAATTTGATTCAATTTTTTATTGAGTTTTTCTTGTATTCTTAAATTTTTTTCATTTGGTGGTTGTAAGGGAATGTAAAAATTGTCTGTTGTGTCTATTGCCCCAAATGCTATCAGCCACTTCTTTAACCATTTTTAAGGGGTTTGTTGTTAGTTGTAAATTTCTTTTCATGGTTGTCTTTTAAGTTGTAAATAGCATTTATTCCAAACTCTGTGAAAGAAACATGGCTAGAATTCAAGTTAGCATCCTTCTATTTTATAAAAAACCTTTGGCACATTATTCCACTGATAAATAAAGTGAGATTAATATGATTTGGAAAATCAAAAAAAGAATATTATGTACACAAATAGCCATCATCACTAATTGGTGAAATGGCTCCCATCGGCCATTTTCTCTAAAAAAAAAAAAAAAAAAAAAAAAAATCACCTAATATGATTTTATAGTGATTTGGGGTTGTCAGTCAATATGTTAATGTTTGATTACTTACTTATTCCAATGTTCTTTACTCATGTACAATGCCGGAAACATTATCGGGAGAATAATAGCCACATTCTCACTTATTAAGCTCAGGATGTATTCATTGTTCCAAAAATACAAGGCTCTCTCCGCAACCTGTAATGTATGAACATATTTAAAAATAATATGCACAAATATCTTACAAGCATAAAAATAGATTCTATGATTATTCAAAAATTTAATCTACCTTTTGTTTTAAAGAAAAAGTAACAAAGAAATTTTATTTTTTTGTATAATTTTTTAAAACTAAGATTTTTAATGGAATTGACTGGCTGAACTAACATTTGATGGAGGCAACTGTACTTATAACAATTAACACTATAATAAGACAAGTTATTTTATCAAGGGTAACAAAATGATTATGCTTGTAGAAATAAGTTTTAGTTAAAAACAAAAAGATTGAAATCCTGCATAAACATCAATTAATAACAATAAAAAAAAAAAATAATTAAAAAAAATCAATTCATATCAAGAAAAAAATAATTAAAAATAAAAATTGCATTTAACACTTTCATTGCTGAATTGTTATTGCATTGTCTGGTTGTGCTGTTACAGTTTGTGAAAAATATAAAATAGTAATTTACTGTAAAAGTCTAAAAACAATTTTTTAAATTTAAAAACAAAAAAAAAAAAAAAACACTAATGATAATTTCTCATGGATGCCACCATTCTGATATTGATCAGATACTTTGCAGTAAACCAAATACTCTCAACTCAATATTTTACAAAAGAGATTGTATTATATGATAGTATGTTTGGAAATAGCACAAATGCTAGTGACTTATATTTCATGTGTCTTGAAAATGTATATATACAATGATAGCAGGCAATGTAAATTTTGTGAAAACCTAAGTACATCCACAATAACAGGAGTTTTAAAAAGAAAAAAAAACTACAATTATAATCAAGTTATTGAAATTAAATGAAAATTTCTTTTTATTAGGTTTCTATTCAGTTTTTGCTTTGAGGTTAGAAGAAAAAAAAATTTTGGTTTTAAAACAAGTTTATATAAATCAAATCAATAAATTTACTTGGAAATGTGGGCTGGAAACACATTTAGATAATTGTCTGAACAGTGGCCGCACTACTTTGACAAACTCTGCTGGTTCTATCACATCCAAGATTTCTTCCAATTCATTTAAAAACATCACCTAAATGAAAAAAATAAAATAAATTAAATTAACTCTTCCAAATAATGTTTTATTAAATTCTAAATTGAAATTTTCAATTATGTAATTCAAAAAACAATTTAACTTTTTCAATTGAAAACTTGTTTTAAATATAAATTCAGAACTTTATTTCACATTTAATTATTTCAGTTAAGATTTCAATCTGAATAAATTTATTTAATTCATGTAATGAATTATAAAGTTAAATTTTCAGTCATCTAAAAAGAATGAAAGAAAAGTTCATTACACTCTTGAAATCAAATTTATTTTTATTTCTCTTGACAGTTTTATTTATCTATATTTAAGCAAAATTAAAGATTTTATTAAAATAAACATTAGATCTGTTTTTATATCAAACTAGAAGTAGAGCCCAGCATTGCCCGGGGATGTAACAGTAACAATTATCAACCATCATAAAGACTGAAAATTAAAATTGACAAAGATTATTGTTTAAGGTTGATGGACACTTATTTTATTTTTTTTTTTTATGAATTGGTCAAACTCAAACAAAAACATTGTTTTCAATCGTTATGAGTCTACCGATTGAATAGAATTTTATGATAAACAATTGTCTTGTAAATGGAATTTTTAAAGCATTCTGAATGTAAAAATAAAGAAAAAAGTGTGCAAGACAATAATACTACCTGCCAAAAAAAAAAAAAGTGAAGTTTTGTTGAAATTGGTTGAAAAATGTAGGAAATCCGATCCCATATATAAACGAACACACACAAACAACCTGGGTTTTATAATAAGTATAACTCGAAGAGTTGTCCCCTTTTCATTCACGTTCTTAATTATGTTTTCAAATTGATTTTGTGCAAAAACAATTGTTTTTCCAATTTTTGGTGCTGTCAGAACCACCGCAAGGTAATTTTACATAGTCCTGTGAAGTTTTGTTGAAATCGATTGAAAAATGTAGGAAATCCGATCCAATATATAAACGAACAGACACACACACAACCTGCGTTTTATAATAAGTATGATTTTACTTACCTCCTTTGGGCTATGGACTTTAGGCCAAAATTTCAATAATGTCATTATCACCTGCAATTTTAAAAGAAATTATTTATAATTAAAAATACTTTAGTAAAGCTTGATAAATTGGTTAATTTATATATAAAAAAAAAACTATAAATGTGAAGTAATGGAAATTTATTTCATTATCAACAACTATAGAATATATGTAAAAAAAAAAAAATCTAGGTCATCATTAAATCAATGAAGTTATTTTGGTCAATATTAGCATGAGAATTAAAAATATAATTTTTCTTATATCAGAATAAATAATAAAAGCAAACGTATAAAGAATAAAGACATACAACTAACCTACTTTAATATTCACTTAATATTAACAAGTTTAGTTATTTTCATTTACGGGATTTTATAAATAATCATGCCTCGGTTATCTACCTTGTACTGTGCAAAAAAAAAAAAACAAATTTCCTCAGAGCCCGAATTTGAAGTTGCGAATTGCCATAAGACAAAGAGGAGTTATAAGGGTGCAAATATTACTGAGAGCAACAAAAAGCAGGAAGCTGTGAAGAATCATGCTCCTGAAAGGTCATGGCACATATAGAGAGAAGTGGAAAATCTGTAGTTATCTGAATTCTTAGATAAAGCTTTTTCCTCATTAATATTTCCCTAGTTTCCGCCTTATTGCAGTCTTGTTATCAAAGTTCAAGGTCAAAATATTTGCCAACTGTTAAACTAAGCAGCATGGGTATGAATTAAATTATGTCTGACAGGTTTGTACATGAATTTTATATCTGGAGAGTTTATCTTACATGAAATATGCCAAATAGTAGAAATATGACTATAGATTTAGGCCCTGCCTAGCAGTTAGATTTCATATCGAAACCTTTTAGCATTGTTCATGTAATATGAGCTCCTAGGATATAGAATGCAAGTTCACGTTTTGTCAGTTTAATTCTTTATAAAGACTTAGGAGGTTCATTTAATTTAATAGATATAGGGTCATTTAATTTAGAAAACTATGGTAAAAATAAATAAAATAGAGAAAACTAGTCAATTAGAAACAATTCCTAAATTGAAATTAGAAATTTCCTTTTGGAACCTGTTCTGAAAGTTCATTCCTGGTTATCTTTAGTTGATTAAAATATGCCTAGGATTTCTAAATTATTCAAATGTAAAAAGTTCCATTCTCAAAACTTATAAACTAAAAACTATAAATGTAAACATTTCTTTTAATTTATAAATAAAGACTATTTTTTATTTTATTTTTTTTAAAGAAAATAACTTACCGGTTCTGTTAAACTAGGATCTTTTTCAAGAAATTGGACCACACAGTATGCTAGCTGAGGGTGGTACACACTCAAAGATTTGACTTTGTGAAGAGGTAATAATACTTTTAGTAGGAATACTTTATGCTCTTCTTTCAATGGCAAAGCAAATCCATTAATAATACTGAAAAAAAATATATACATATATTGACACATTTAAAATAAAATTTTGTTTCAAAGAATTATAACTAAAATTTACAGTTCTAAATGAATTATCTATCAAGGTAGTCAAAAGGTCTTCAATTATTTGAAAACAATCTCCAGAATCAAACATTTTTATTTCAAATTTACAACTATTAATTTGTTTTATAAGACTCAAAATTCTTTAAGCACTAAAAATATAAAAAATCAATCCATTTAAAGCTATTGTCAGTTGAATAAAACAAAGAAATGGAAAAGATTATTAAATGATCTCAACAAATAAAATTTAATTCTTTTAAGCTCTTTCTGTGAAATTACCAAGAAAGAATATAGAACATTCTGAATAGACAGTAATACAAACTGTTGTCATGAACAATTTTAATGCCAACATCTGCAATTCAGCAAATATCCAATACACATAAAAGAAAACAGTTCCCCCCCCCCAGTTTTGTGTTTAATAACAATCAGGTAAGAAAACTTAAGAGGTAAAATGAAGGTTTTAATCAAATATTTCAATTTATATCGATCAAGAAATATAAAATCTTACCTTCCCAAGATTTCTAACAATTCTGCTATACCATTATGGTGTTCTGTTTCATAAATAAACCTGCAATGATACAAAACAACAAATTATTATGAGTATTTGGCAAAGTTTATAGTTAGAGAAAAAAAAGCTTCAAAAACAATTCTATGAAATGGATTTATCTATCAAATTTAACAAAAAAAAAAAAAAAAAAAAAAATGAAGACTGCAATAATCAAATATTTAAAAGATTAAAAGAAAAAAGATAGTGACATTATATATTGGTTCTAAATATTTTCAGTTTGTTTAATTCATAAAATTAGAGAAAATTTACCTTTTTGTTTAACAAACAAAATCAACCCAACAAAATCTTCTTTAAGTATTGTATTTAAAAAAAAAAAAAATAGCTAAACATGATTGTACAGAACTTTTGCAGAATGAGCTTTGAGACAACTTTTTAATACTAAAGTTTACTCAATACAAGGTTTGAAAGCCATTTAAGTTAGAGAATTATACTGATAAAATAGTTATGATGAATGAGGTGTGAGGAAGTGAAAATTATGAGGATAAAGATTGACCCTTGACTTGAAGATTGTAAAATTCAGGGAAGCATCCACATGAATGCTTGGTTTGTTTTGTTGTATGGCATATCAACCTCAATGGGTTATTTAATAACGACAAGATTTTTTTTATTGCTGGTAATATTTTTTTTCCAAAATGTATTGCTGTTAATTTTTTTTTTTTTTTTTTTTTTTCCAAAAAAATATATTGCTGGTAATAATTTTTTTTACAAAATATGACTGATATTAAAACCTATTTTTACACCTTCATAGTGTTTTGACCCCAGTTTGGGGGTTAACTATTTACCCATAGCTGGGACCCTAACAGGTGCTACCACCCAGAGTAAGGGTGGATCTGGGAACACCAGCAATTAAGAAGTGGTTCTATGCTCCTCAGAACCTCCTGATCAGAGGCCTTGCTGTTGGACGTAGTTTGTTTTAACCAGGACACAGATGTAGCTTATATCCAGGATGACAACATTAATGCCTGTAGTGGCAGTTCTTGAGAAATAGCTGGGCGAAGCATTTTTTCTTAAATTTGGAATATAGAGAAAATGATGGTGATTTGACTCTGTAAAAGTAGCATAGTGTGTCATAGTTGTAAAGGTCTGAACTGGTAGAACTAGAGAATGGAGTGATCATCTGAACATTTGCCATGGAAATAACAAAGTGGCAATAAGTTTGTGATGTAAGAGTAGAAAAGCAAGCAATTTTGAACAATGCTGGAAAGTGAGGACTGGGTAGCTCCAGCCCAGATATCACAGCAATACTTCAGTTTTGATCTGACCTAGCTTTTGTTAAGATAAAGCATCATATAAAGAATCAGATACTTTCTGGATTAGCAGAATGAGAAACATTTTACCAACATCTAGCAGTGAACTGTATATACAAGTCCTACTTGAGGTCTGGGATGAACAGAATAAACATTCAAAGCAAGGAGCCTCATTGAAATTGCAACTATTCATCACGGGAGAAAACTCAAGGTCTGATCATTGAGGATGAAATGATATTAGCTTGATTGTTGAGGTATTGAAAGTTATTTCCACACTCAGCTTTTAGAGCTAGGTGTGAGAGGGATCAGCTGCAAGGCTCCAATCATCTAGATTTTAGGAGGTACACCCATAAACTGTGGTATCATCTGCATAGATGTTCACTGATGATCTGAAAATGTTCTTGGACAAATTGTTAATAAAAAGCAGGAAGAGGTTATGACTGAAGAGAAAGCCTGGGGAGTACACTTGCATTGATATTGTGATGTTTACAAGACCAAGCATTCATAATGACCTTCACAGATCGACATGATGAATTTAAACTCTTTCAGAAATGTTATCACTGGTGACTATGATAACTTATGTCACAACTTGTCAAAAGCCTTTCTATATATATATATATATATATATATATATATATATATAAAATGCAATCACTCTAGAGATGAAGCTATCATAAAACACTTTACATATTCAGTTGGTAATGACAGTTAAAAGATCAGTGGTGGACCTAGAGGAAAAAAAACCCATACTATTTGTGGCTAAGGAGGTTGTTTCAATTATACCTCTTCATTGATAATAAACTCAAAGAATTTGGTAATGATAATAAGGAGGTTGATGGGAGCAATATTGTAATGAAGATGAATGCTCACCAGCATTCTTGAAAACAAAGCAAACAGCTGACACCTTCCACAGACTTGGGAAACATTTCTTCTTCAGACAGCAATTAAAACAACTTTTCCAAGATTCAAGTCTATGGTTCTTAAGAACAACAACAATTTTATCTTGACCAGCCTTTGTAGAAAGAGTCAAGGATTTTTAATGAGTCTGGAAACTTTTGGAGCCAAGATAGTGAGGATACAAAGATTACCCTTCATGAGAGGACAGAAAATTATGTTTATTTGACCAACAGCATGGTCAAACAGTAAAACCTATCTAGAATTTTCATGTTAATTTTTACTTTAAATACATAAAGAAAAAAATTGTTTATATAATAGTACAAGGGATTTTCCAAAAGTAATGCTTCATATTTATTTCCATAGAAACGACAACAAATACATAGAATATGTTGGATAAAATAAGTTTTCAGTTACAAAACACTATTTTTCTACATAGCCACAACTAGTAGCTATGTATTTTCACCAATGAAATATTTTGTGGATCAACAGCTAGAACATGTCTTATCACACATACCAATGTTTCCACTGATGAAACACATTGCCCACCAACAACTTATTGTCCATATTCATTGTTTGGCAATAATCTACGTCAAATTTTTGTTCAATGACATCTATGCTGCATAAGTATTTTCATGACTGATACCATTTTGCTAGACTGTCACTCAGCTGTTATTAGGGGTTTATGTGCAAACTCTACTACCATACCACAAACATATGATTCTGAAATAGGTGGACATAATAGGAAACATTACTTTTAGAAAAATCGTCATAAGTATTTATTTCATGTACACAGACACCCTGACTCTTGATTCAGAGTTGCTTATAACAGGAAAAAGTTAAATGGGAAATTATAAAAATAACAGAATCTAAATTGTTTTAATAAATTTTTTTTTAACACTTACTCAATAGCTTTATACAATATATGATAATTTTCTATTTTTTTTTTTTTTTTTTTTAAGTATGCAAAAGAATTTCTTAATGTACAAAACATTTACTCACCTATAAAATATATTATTTATTTGTTTCCTGATATATGCCCGGAGACCAAGAAATTTTCCATATATTCTATGGAGTATGGTCTTTAGAAAGTCTCTTTCTCTTGGGTCTTCACTATCAAAAAGCTCCAGTAGCTTAAAAATAAATTATGAGAATATAGCATAATATATTTTATACAATTTTTATTTTCAAAACACTTTAAAATAACAAGTAATAAAATTTAGTAAAAGACAGTATAAGAAAATGAAATTCTTTAAAATATCAGTCAGTATGTAATAAAGAATTGATATTGCTGTTAAATGATGATTATTTCTGCTTCCCTAAATATCAGCATTAACCCAAATTCTTAAAGTAACATTTAAATTTGAAAAAATTTGAAATTTTAACCTGAGAAATATCTTTATAATCATCTATCACTATTTTATATTTATCAAATAAGATTTTAAATTAGATAAAACTAAAAGAATATGAAACTTGAATTTTTATTCTAAATGCTAAGACCTCAAGAATAAATTAAGAAATGACTTCTTTTTATAACATTTGATTATTTACATTAAACACATTTCATTTGGTCCTAATCAATAATATCTTTGCCAATAAGTATAAGTGTATAAAATCCAAAAACATGCTGAATTTATGTAAAAAAAAAAAAAAAAAAAAAATGAAGTGGTTTTATCTGCTTCACATCTTTCTATAAAGAATTATGAATTAAAAATTATGTATTCAAACATAAAACTTATTTTTGCAGTTGTAAGAATGAAAATTATATTTCACAGTAGATTTGATAATTTTATATTCTATTTAAATTAATATCCTTAAGAATTTTTTTTTAATTATTTATTTTCAATTTAACAATGATAAATACAGTCTCTATACATATGTATTTCCTTTGTTTAACCAAGTCAACTACAGCGCCATTTTTCATAAGGTTGTATAAAATCTATCTACTTGGAAATATATCCACCTCAAATTAAGTAGTAACTTATAATCAAACCAGAATTGCTAAGTGTTTACCAATACATAAAATTAAAAATAAGAAAATGTAAATACCTGTAATACAAATTTCTGGTCTATATACCTCTTTGCTGTATTTGAAGAAAAATCAGGAGATTCCAAGAACCGCAGGAAAAACTCATATACAAGCTGTGGGGATAAAAAAAACAAAAAAAACAATTAAGCTAATTATTATGAATAGCAAAATATAATTTTAAAATATACAGATTGAAGAAGAAAATGAAAAAGTGAAATGTTGTAAGAAATATTGGTTACCAACTAAACTTAATTTCACATGTAAATTTAGGCTATTTTCATCCACAAATATACATAAAAAGCAAATTCCATTTTTTCTTTAATAAAAGGTGAAATCTGTATTAATGGATTAATTAATCTTAAAATTCTGAATTAAACCAAATTTTATATAAAGAATATTTATCTATTTGGCATACAAAAATAATAAATCTTCAAGTGTCATTACTATACTTTCCTTCAATAGTTGTAAGTAAGATTGTTCGGACTCTTGTTCTCATCTTCATTGCTGTATTCACAATGTTTTAGCCATTGTCCACTCCAGCCGTCTTCAGGCCAAAACATCATGAATATGGCAAAGATGAGGATAACAGGTCAAACAATGTAAATATTGAAAACAGTTACAGTATCTCATCTCAGAAGTATAGAGAAGATACAGTTCTGTAGACAAATCCAATATCTATCAAATACCTTATTGAAGCAAAATATTTACTGACTTTAAATAACCAGCAAAAATGTTGATAAGCCATAGAAAATGAATGAATGAATCATACAGAAATGATTAGATTGTAAAGAAAATCCATGATCACTTTGAGGCTAATTTCTTGATACAGTAAAATAATCATTAATTTTTACATTCTAATATTTTATTTTTCTTTCTTTGCAGATTAATTAATATTAGAGTGGATTAATACTACATTCATTTTAGATGTTTTAAAATTGGTTTACATCAGAAACTGTAATGTTGTAATGGAAGAGGCAAGAAATATCCTTTCTGTTTATGGACATGAAGCTTTAACTATTGGATATACCAAACAACTGTTTGGCTAATATTGATTGGGGAAGTTTCCCCTCTATCTGGAAGACCAAGCAAATCAAGAGTATCCTTTTGCTGTCTTACAGAAGAAATGATATTATTCTTAAAAAATAATGTTTAGAAAGATTAATTGGCAAGACAAGGATGAAATAGCATGTGCCACTTAGACAGATGGAATTAGCATGCTCAGAATTTTGTTAAATGATACACATTCACATATGAAAAAGACTTTTCAGCAAAAAACTATTTTCTTTGCAATAACTCTGAAGCTTAATTTGTCTTATTTAACATTGCACATTACAAAAAAATTAGTAAATTTATAGAATTATTAATTTTTAGTATTGATTGATTGATTGGTTGGTTTTACAACACATCAAACCTTTTATAGGTTATTTAATATTGAAATCATTTTTGTGCTAAATGTTAAAATGAATTAATAAAAATTTTCAGTTTTGTAAGAGTAAAAAGATTTTTCTCATTTAGATTATCATGTAAACTATATATTTATTTGTATAAATTGGATATTTCATATGAAAATTGTGTTTTATGTTTTTTTTATTCATAACTAGCAGTAGAGTCCGGCATTGCCCGGGGATGTAACAGTAAGAGATAGATCAAGTATCGACCATCATAAAGACTGAAAAATAAAATCGACAAAGATTATTGTTTACGGTTGACACACACGCATGTCTTAATTAGGTTTTTTTTTTACGAATTGTTCAAACTCAAACAAAAACATTGAATAGAATTTTATTATAAACAATTGTCTTGTAAATGGAATTTTTAAAGCATTCTGAATGTAAAAATAAAGAAAAAAGTGTGCAAGACAATAAGAAACACTACCTGCCAAATAAGTGAAGTTTTGTTGAAATCTGTTGAAAAATGTAGGAAATCAGATCCCATACATAAACGAACACACACACACAACCTGGATTTTATAATAAGTATAACTTGATATGAGTTGTCCCCCTTCCATTCGGGCGACAGAATTGTGTTTTATCATGTTTTCAAATTGATTTTGTGCAAAAACAATTGTTTTTCCAATTTTTAGCACTGTCAGAACCACCGCAAGGTAATTTTACGTAGTCCTGTGAAGTTTTGTTTGATCCAATATATAAACGTACAGACACACACACACACACACACAACCTGGGTTTTATAGTAAGTATGATGAAATTGTTAAAAGGATAAAATTAAGAGATAAAAATATTTGATGAATAAAGTTCTTTTATATAAAATTGTATAAACTGTATATTTTGAGGACTTTGAATATGAAAATTTGTATAGCTAATATACTGCATATAAAAAAATGTATGGCTCATTGTTACCATGAAATTAAAATTTAATTATTTTGTATTGATTTCTAATTTAGTCTAACATTAAATTTGACCAATTAATGGTTTGTATTTAGCATACACTGTCACAATTTTTTAATTTTCATGTACTTGTATTCTGTCTGGTTGTCATAGGTTACGTAACAAGGTTTCTCCTATTGAGGGGGGGTTGGATTTGGCTTTGAATTTTCAAGAAATCTTTTATTTCACAATCAACACCATCACTTTTATAAGACACCAGAAGTGTTGAAACAAAATTGTCTATTTTTGTAGTAATAATATAACCTGCTTATGTTATAACATCTGAACATATATATATATATATATATATATATATATATATATATATATATATATATATATATATATTTTTTATTTACATTATTTTAGATGAATATTATTTTATACACATAATATGAGTAGATAGATTCACCTGTCATTCAGCGCACACTCCTGCCAAGTCTTTTGAAACAAAGTAGAGATTTATCCCTTGTTTCCTGTTTAGGATTAAGTTCCTAGTTCCTTCTAAATTATTTTCATTCTCTTTCACTCCCAGTACCCACTTGTATCTTAGGGGCATTGTTGCTTTGCTTGGGGGTCAATTGAGATATATATATAAAGCTTCTTGCTGGTCCATATATGAAACAGTCATAGTATAATTTTGATCTAAGGAGTGGTAGAGATTGAGTAATGTGTCTAATTTGTATGCATTATAAATGAGAGGTTGTGTGGCTTTGTGATATTTAGACTTGTATTTGCCAACTGCAGGGGATATCATTATTGTTAAGTTGTAAAATTGGTCAAAATAAGGTCAAATTGGCAGCTGATCTATAAAAAAAAAAAAAAAAAAAAAAAAATTAATTACCTATAATCTGTTAACTGGGGCTTGTTAATTTTACACCCCCAATATGAAACTGCTCTCTTAATCACCTTAAGGAACACTTTTTGCCTTCCATCAGCACAACTGACTCCTTACACCTCCTCAGAATAACGTTTTCCGCTGACATGAAGTGGAATGATTATATTAAACCAATTGATAGGTCTACTGCTAGGAAAGTTGGTTCCTGATATGGTGCTTCTGATATGTATTTAGATATTCTTGATAAAATCCAAAGAATATGCAGTATTATTATTCCTGATCTGGCATCTCGGCTTCAGTCATTTTCCCACCACTGTAACATACCCCTCCCCACTGCCTTTTCTATAAATAGTTTCATGGTAATTGTTTTGATGAGCTTTCCTCTTTGGTACCTCAACTTTATGAATTTAAGCACAGTACTTAATGTTTTTCCTTATCTCTTATTCTTTCACACTCAGTAATCTCTTGTGTCTTGCATAGGGTAAAATGATTAAGAAAAAAAAAAAAAAAAAAGAAAAAAGTTTTGTTTTTTTTTTAAGTTTTTAGTTAGGTGCTCTACTACATCTTTTTGTTTGTGATATTTTATATTATTTTAAATGATATTTTATATTATTTTAAATGATATTTTATATTATTTTAAATAAGGTACTTGCTACATTGCTCACATTATTGGACAAAAATTTGCTAAATTTTGAAAAGTGAAACTTTTTTTTCTTTGCTATAAAATGGAGGATATTGGAGAAATATTTTCCTCATTGTTAGTATTGGGTCCTGGTGTCTGTCTGGATTAGCAAGAGTTTATGAACTCTTCCAAATTGGCTTTACAGAGATTTTGGGTCATGATTTTCTAGTATGATGGGAAAATGGTCACTTCAACATGTGTCACTGTGTATTCTCTATTTATAGTCCATGTATATACTGTGGTCACAGATTTTTATGTCTACTACAGTAAATGTGCCTGTTGATGGATGGAGATATGTTTGTCTTGTTATTAAACAACCACAATTATGTTTGGTTTAACAGTCTCTATGCCTTTTTAGTTTATTTCCTTATCTTGTTATGGCTGATTAACTTCCCCATCAAAATTAAATATTTTGGATATTGTTGAATTAATGTCTAACTCTTGTTTCATTGATGACCTTGCTAGGTTGTATATATAATGAGTAGATAGTTATTTTGTGTAAGGTTGTTGATATTGCAACTACCTGCATATCTGTTTTCTGTTTTACTTCACTGACAGATGTTGTTGCTAATGATTATTGAGGAGACACTGAGGTTCTATCAACATGTTTGTTTATGCAGTTTGTATGATTTGCAGATTTTAATGTTAAATGTTTGACCCTTTCCTTTCAAATGGGTTTCTTCTAGACATGTTATTGTTGGACAGTAAATTACAGTGAGGATTAGTAATTTACAAAGGTCGTCTTAAAACAAAACTTCCATTGACTCCAAACTGCTTGTTCCAATCCTGGGTGGAAATGACTACAAAAACAACCCCCTTCCCCAAACTTATACAGATGCATGCTGGGATTTCTTCCTAGCCAATAAGATAGGCAACTTCTTGGTCTCATCTGATTTAGTTCTTTTCTTTCTTGTCTTGAAGCCAGAATGCTGGAATCACTTGTCTGTATCCCTTTTGGATGTTAACACATTTCTTAGTTTATCAACCTTTGCCATATTACTGTTGTTTTGCCTTGCATATATTGTTTGCTTGCTTAATATTATTTTTTGACCTGTTCTTTTCTTTCTCTTGTTATTGTTTATTGCTAACTTTGTCAATTAGGCATTTCTGCCAATTACATTTAACCATGACCAATTACTCTACATAAACATTTGATTTTATTTTGCATAAGATCTACTCTGATCTTTTATCATAATTCTGAAGTAGAAGGCTGTGCCTTTTCTTGCCTGGAACTATTTTTCCTGACTGTTTATTCTTGAGCAAGTGTTTCAGTTATTCTGCTTTTACATGGATTTTGGCATTCTTTTCCAGGTTTTTCTTGAATGTTTGGTACTTCATTTTATTTTTTCTGTTGTTCTGTCTCTTCTTTCAGTTTGTCTTCAGTTAAGGAGTTGTAGTGTTGGTAACATTATTCATTATTAGTATCAGTTTTATTTCACTTACAATTTAGTTGCTTCAGTAGTTTTTTGATAAGTCTATCATATTTGTCTTGTTCTTTGTTTCTTTAGTAATTCCAATAGGTTTTCTCATTTATGTACCCCCTCTACAATTTTTCATGACTCTAGAAAGGAGGAGACTTTTTTGTATATTTGGTGATCAAGTCTTTTCTTTTTTCCAAATTTCATATGTCCTTGCATAAGTTAAATGTTCTTGACCACAGTGTGCCTAATTGCAAATATAGTTACATTCATTTATAATATGGTTTGGATCTTTTTTGTCCACATCTACCACATACAGCCAATTCATTAGATTCATGTTCATGCTGTACAAATTTCTGACAATTATAACATCCAAGTATATTTGGTGTCAACTGCTCAATTTTTTCAATATTTTACTTACTAGATTTTCATTTCTTTAGGTATGGTAGGTGTATCAAAGGTTATGAAATATGTGTTTGTTTCTATGATTGGTCATTTTTTTCCATTCCTTGTTTATTCAGCTTTGTTTTTATTCTTTTGAAAATGAAGAGAAATAATTCTTTACTCTTTGCACTACACCTATTGATGTGTTCAGCGTTTAGTAAAGATACATTTATATTTTGTTATAGTGGAACATTTTCATCTTTAACAGAAATTCTGCAGATTTTTCCTTTTCCATTCCTGCTAGAATAATACAATTTTTCATTTTTCACATCTTTAGGTGTAATATCTGCAAAGATGGCCTTTAAGCATATCTGCAGAGAGTACTTCTTGGATGAGAAAAGGTAATAATTTTGTCAGTAGCACTTCCTCTTCTGATTCCAAAATAATAAAGCTTGGAAAAATTATTTTTCTTTGTTCAGATATCCGAGTAAACAGGTATGAAAATCTCTTGGTTGGTTTGTTAATTGACATGAGATTATTTTGTAAACTTCACTGCCCCTACTATCTACCTGCTCCAGTCTGGTTTAATGGGAAATACCAAAAGGGAGGAACCTATTTGACTTGGTAAGATAAAGCTACAGGAACAGGATACTCATATTTGGGAGAGGCCACAAGTACCTGTTTTTCTTTTCCTGCTTTGCTACCCACAAAAAAATAGGGAAACAATTAGGAGTTGCACAGCCATGTTATAACCCTTTCATCCAAACCAATTGATCTTACAACCACACCCTTCTAATGTAGAAGTTTGGGAAAGATTTGTTTACGTATGTGAGGTACATATTCTGATAAGTATGTTCTCTAAATTATGGCTTGGCATGACCAGCTAATAGATTTGTTTGGGCTTTTTCAACTGCCCATCTAGCCCAAGTAAGGACCAAACTGAAGTGTTGTAGCTCATATAAATATATAGATTACTGGATTATGGTCTACTCAGGAATCAGGGTTGCCACTCAAGGCAAGCAGGTGGCTCCTATTTGGAGGCAGGGAATTACCCCTGTGCACAAGGATAGTGTATTTTTGACTACAACTGACAGGTCTACAATATTTTGGAAGATAATTATAAATTGTTTACCACTTAATAGAATAGATTTTTTCTTTGTTCCAACATAAGCAAAGCAACAAAAAAAAAAAAAAAAAAATAGTAATAAGAGTATATTGAAAACTGTCTGTTTGATAAGATCACTTACGTTACAGCTTCCTTTCAAAAATCATGAAACTTGAATTTTGTGTATTATATTTGAATAGCAAGATAACCAGCATTGTAAATGCTATAGTTGCTTGGAAGCAAAATATTAGAACTTTGCTACAAAATTCATACCATAATTATTTGTGCATAATACACATCCAAATTCTGGGCTATAAATTTCTAGAAAAAAAAATCTATGTAGAATATGCACTGATTTTAGAATTTATAGCAGCTAAACTTGACATTTTTTTATATCAACTAAAAATTAGAATTTAATAGTTTAAATTTTGTTTTGAAATAAGAAATTTACACAGTATTTATAGTTACTGGACATGTTAACAATAATAGCTTGCAATAAAAATGAGTTTACATTAGAAGAAACAAAATTATGACATACATTCCAGTGGCTAGTGACTATTTCTCTGTAGTGTTGTAAAACAAAAGTGAACATTTCTATTATGTAGATGCAAAATATATAAAAGAACCAAAAGAATTCTACCATTTATCAGTCAGCCACAACTGATCATACCTTTACCTGATAAACTTAATTATGTTCAATTTATTGCAAACTAAAATCCTCTGTGCACAAATAACAGTTTATTATTTTGACCATAAAATCAAAGTGATCCATTTTATTTTTTTTTGCTTTCTTCATTATTATCCTTATTTTCTAACTGATTCATCTACTCTCCTGTTCCTGTATGTGTCTAATACTCTTTTGTTCTCTCTGTGTGTTATACAACTCCAATATTTCTTCAGTGACCCCAGGATTTCTTCATTGAGCATTGTAAGACACTTTCTTTTTGTCTTGGATGGTATTAATTATACACTGTTTCTTCTTGTTCAAATCTTTCACAATGTGGAATGATTTCTTCCTATTGTTATTTAGATTTTATTCAAACTTTGTTGTTTGACTTCTATGTCCTCCCCTGTTTCTGTGCTATGTCTAATACCCTTTCATTCTGTGTATCATACAACTGCAATATTACATTGGTGCTGAATCAGTGATGGATATTCTAACAATAAATGTGTAAGATCCAGCAGTCAAGTGAGTGGCCAAAAACATATACCCAATCCCTGATTATCACCTTTCCCAAAAAAGACTATTTCGAACAATGTCAAAACTACGAGAATACTAGTTCAATCAGTCATGCAAAGTGATGTTGAAAATCACCCTGAAAAGCCAGCCTAATGTCCCAAGCAGAAGAAATCATTGAAGAAGAATGTATTAGACATGTATAATTATGGTACGTAAAAAAAATTATGGCATATAAAAAAAAATTATGGTATGTAAAAGGAAAAAAAAGTGGTATGTCAAACTGTTCTCTCAAATTTAAATAAGATGTTAATGTTTTTAATGATTGCACATGAAAACCATACCTGTAAGTGTGGCCAAGCTGCCTCTAAGGTTGGTTCATCTTCCTCAGGATCAAACTCGGCACCACTAGGATTTGATGAGGGTGGTAATGTTCTGAATAGGTTTCCAGCAAACTAAAAACAAAGAATTTCCAAAATAAAAGATAATTATGTAGATTGTAACTATGTCAAATATTTAGACTTGATTGAAAATTTTATAATAAAAATAATTAAGTATAAGAAAGAAGTAGCACTTAACTTTCCAGGCTATTTCTTTAACTAAGTAAAATTATGAATTTAGAAATAAAACTTTAATATTTTTGATGATTACAAATGAAATGTATATAAAATGGAAATTTAATAGATAAATAATTGGAAAAAACAAATTTAAGTGAACAATGTACCAAACTGCTTATGATTAAATTTTAATTAATAGTTTGTTTGGAACTATGTATGTCCCAGAAACTTTTTGTCCAAAACGCAACAATTATATGCTATACATCCAGGTTAAAAAATACATGTAAAGAATAAAAACTATTTCCACTGTAACTTAAGGATAAATAAAACCATTTTTAACAACTTAATTTACTTAAAAATGCAAATTATTACTTTTATCAATAATTTTATATATTAGTTTTACTTTTCTAATAGAAACATTCTGGGTATTTATCTTTAAATAATAGATACAGATGAATGGATTAATGGATTTTTTTTATTTATTAACCCAACAGATTTTTATCACTTTAAATGCTATTTTAGTAGAAACTCTACTTTGTGTTTGGATACAAAACTAAGCAGATATAATTTTGAGTAATCTATAACAAGAAGCATTTCACTTAAAGGCACTGTATCAAACTTTGCTTGATCAGCAAAGCTTCTTCGTGACCAAGTCAGTTAAGGCACGTCAATCTAACAATAGTTTCCCTCTGAGCAGAGGTACACAGGTTTGAATTCTACCACAGACCACACACTTTTCTTTAATAAAACTTCTTGTATATTCAGGTTGGTAGACGAGAGTCTACTGTTTAATACATAAACGGAGTGTCTACTCAAATACAAGTATCCACCAAAATAATGTTTATAGTTATATATATATATATATATATATATATATATATATATATATATATATACACACACACACTTTAAAAATCAGGAGGTCAGTTGAATCTGCTACCTTGGTTTCAACCTTACGGTATCCTCAGGCAATTTTTATCAAACGACTTAATACTTAAAACTAATGAATGCTATATTATTTTCAAAAATAAACTGTGCAATGTTGAGTGTAATAGGAAGGAAGGAGGAGGATGTGAAGAAGGAAGGAGGAGGATGTGAAGAAGGAAGGAGGAGGATGTGAAGAAGGAAGGAGGAGGATGTGAAGAAGGGAGGAGGAGGATGTGAAGAAGGGAGGAGGAAGAGAAAGCAAAGTTATTATAAATGTATAGGTGGGGGTTTAATAGAAATGTACATTACTTTTTTTTTTTATCCAACCTCATATGTACTTAAGTGGAATCTCCTAATATGTAAGCAAGGTGTCAAGATTTCTGAAGGTTCAGAAAGTACTTTGGATTGGGAAATGTCATAATTACTAGCTTCTCCTGCTGGCAGAAGTTGCAAATATTGTTGTGGTTGCTATAAGGCTTTGCTTTGCTTTTTTTCTTTTTTTAAATTTCCCACCTTATGTAATTCTGAAGTGGGAAGTGTTCACTAAGTAACCTAAAAAATTTCCTGTTTTTTACATTTTACCTCTAAGCATTGGGGGGGAGATTTTCTTCTTTTCTTCCTTTTTTCTTCATTTTTGTTCTTAATATGTTGTTTAATTTGAGGTTAAAGTGTACTTTGGTTAAAACATGGTAATTATAACAAGATCAAATCGTACTTTAAATAAATCTATTTATGATAACTACTCAATCTCAAAAATTCAAATAAAAATCTATGAATGCTATCAATTATAAATTGGTCAATTAAATATTATTTATACAAAGAAATCTTAGAAACTGCACATTCAATCAAAAATTTTACACATTTTCTTGAACAAATTTTAATTGGATAACTAATAACTTTTTAAACTAATTGCAAGTAACAAAAATAACTTCCTAGTATAGAGTTGCTTTCAAATTCAGGGAATTAATATTATGCATCCACTAACTTCTATTTGGTTTGTATAATGGGATCAATTTTATCTTATTAAGTTATATTAAATGTATCATTGTAGTTAACAAATAAAGATTCAAATAATTTGATGAAATTCTTATTTCAAATATTGTCTAATTTAATGACATTGAAGTGATGGAAATGGAAAAGGAAACCTTTATATTTATATAAAAAAAAAGTTAATAGTTCAAAGAAAGTTGTCATACTGACCATTTGTATTGCTTCAGGATATATATGTTCTGTCAATATTCCTCTGTTTTGGGAGACATATTCAACCATTTCATTTAGAGCTGCTCTTTTTACCTCTTTCCATTTCAAGTCACTGAGTGGATCCTGCACAAAGTCGAATAACACGCCACATTGCTGAATCTTCTGAATAAAAAGTTGTTCACGTTCATTTGCAGGAGCATCTACAAAATTGAAAATGAAGACAGTCAATTGAACCCGATTATTTTTCAACTTCAATTGAAATTTTGCCTAATGAAATTAATTTTGCTGTTTATTAATATTTAAAAAAAAAAAAAAAAAAAAAAAAAGAAAAAAAAGCCAATCACTTACAGTGAAAAAATTAAGACATGCATGAAAATTCAAATCCATAAAATAGAAAAAATTTAAGAATTTTTTTTTTTTTTTTAAGTTTGCTTTTTTTAAAACTGGCTTGAAAAGTTGAAATATTTAATTTTGAATCAAGAGAAACAAATATTTCATTAATATTCATTCATAAAGATATCCACTGCTAATTTAAACAAAAAAAAAAAAATTTAAAAAAGAAAAAAAAAAATTTTGCACTTATTTTCTTTAAAACTTTGAATATCATGATGTAACCTTAATAAAAATATAGTTAAAAATTTATTTATTGTTTAGATTATTTCAGTTGTTATACCTTCCAGTCTTCTTCTGGTTTCTCTTGATCCAGATAAACTTTAGATAATTTCAAGCTGAACCTTTTATTTAATCTTTGGGCGTAGATTGTTCTCATTCCTTACATATGAATAGCAAAATGAGAAAAATCTAATTGCTGTAGATTAAATAACAAGTTTGGTTTGAAATTCCTTGTAGATTACACAAATTAACAGATTGAAGAAGGCCCAACAGCTGAAACACTGTCATAGTAACAAAGATAAGGATATTAGTTCAAATATAAATTATGATAACTCTTCATCTTAAAAATTCATTAACTATTGGTTATTCCATATTGGAATATTACATTTATATCTGTAATAATATTAATTATGAGGAAGGAAATTATCAGTGTTTTTACTACTAGTACTACTAATAAATTACCTAGAGCCTAAAACAGAAAACACCAGGACTAATTAGTAGAATTAATAAAAGTATCAGTTCTTTTTATTCATAATCTTAAATAGGTAAACTATGTTAATAAAATAAAATTAAAAATTAAAAATCTATGGTTACCCACAGTTCATAATCACCGAATAATGTGGGTTTACTTAACTCACATTATTTTGACTTTCAAGAGCCTCTCTCATTGCAATAAACAATTCCACATTAACCTTAAAATGCTTTAGAACAGTTTTTACTGAAAGCCAAGAGACTGAAATTTTAAATACCGTGGAAAAGACTTTAAAACTGATAAAATTGTTAGCTTTTTCAAGACTTTAAAATCAAACCTACAATCAAAATTAAGTCACAAACATTTTATGGGCAGCAGATTGCTTTAAGATTTTACCTGTTTACAACAGGTAAATTTAAAATAGCCAGCAATTCTAATGAAAGTCAGCAGCAACAACATTCCATCTCTCTCACTAGTAAAAGAATCCGTCTTTCTTTCCATTTTTGTTGGATGGATACAGATGAATACAATGTGGGTTGGATTTTTTGTCTTGTTTTATTCAGATCTTTCACTTTTTCTATACATGTATTTATAGACATAGTAGTTTTGTAAGTACAAAAATAGTGTACAGTCATTTGATCTGAAACTTGGCTGTGCTACAGAAGCAGAAGGTTTTAAAGTTAAAATGTTTTATTTTGGATTTAGGAACTTTTACAATTTGTGCTCATAAATTTGCTTTTTGTAAATGCAATTTATTACATTTTGTTAAATTTCATTTTTTTTAAGATATTTTAAATATTTTTTAAAAAATTGAGAATAATTAATAAAATCTATTATTTTTGGTATTTCCCCACCAAACAGAACACTTAAAATATTTTTAACAGAATTTTCTTACAAAATGAATCTAAAGTTAATGTTATCTTTAGGCTAATGGATAAAAGCAACTTTAATGTATTTAAAGAAAAAAAATTTATAGAGACTTTTTACTTTCTATCATGAGAAAAATTTTAAAGCAAAGCAATTTTGGCAGTTATTATTGGTGGAAAAAAAGTTTTTGATATCAGATTTTGGGCTAAATTTCAACTTTAGCAAAGAAAAAGAACAGAACAACATCCTTAAGTAGCCATCTTTATATTTTTTTTAAAGATATTTATATGAATAAAAAAGTTATGAAAAGCAAGTAAATCTTCTTGTAACTTTTTTAGCAAATTTAAATTTCAAACTAAGAAAATAGTACTAAAAAGCTTATAAAGAAATATGAATAAGTTATTTCTTTAAAATATTTCAGTTCATTTGAGAAGTAAAAAATTAAAAGGTTATATTTTAAAAAGAAAAAATTATGTTAGAATGACACTTCAAGAAAATATTTTTAGATATGATAAATATTTAGCATTAATTAACAATTTATTCAGGTTTAAAAACCAGTTTTATACATAAACAACTTGTCCATTAATAGTTGTTATATTGAGTGTATGAAATGTGTATGCAAATGTAATTTATGGATCAGAGGTGGTATATATTAAAACATTATCAGCATGTTTGTTAAGAGTTGACTGTTTCACTTGTTATATACACCTACAGAGAAAATATATTAGCCAATCATTGAGTTTAAGGTATAAAAAAATAAGTCCAAAAGAAAACCAAACGTCTCTGGCCTTATACACATACAAACTTTCAGTTTTATCAAATATAAAACAAGTATTAGATTTTGCAAGTAAAAACAAACTACAGAATCTATGGCTTAGATTTAAAATCAAAATAAATTAATAACCAAGTTTTATATTCAGTTTTTAGTTTAACTACTGAGATATTTGATGTCATGATAGTCAAATAAATGGATTTATCCTGAGATTTATTCAATAACCATAAAACCTTTAAGCCAAAATGATTTTCAGTTATAATTGTTCAAAAATATTTTTAAATTATAGATTTAAACATGACATTAAAATGTATTTGGTTTACATCAAATAAAATTTCCATCAATTTGAAAACAGTTTGATATTTTAACTAGAAATAACTTTAATAAGAAAAAAATAATGGAGCTTTTAAAAGTAACCTAGAATGATCAATGACTGTCTACAAAAAGTGCATTAAATCTGAAATAATATCTTAAAATATAAAATTAAAAATATACAATAAAAATACTATACAACAGTAAAAATTGGATGTTACTACATAAAACATCTGATTCTGAAATCAAAAAGTTATCATTTAATATCTTATTAAAATGATATAGAATAAAATAAATAAAATTTGGTTTTAATAATGTAAAATAATTAAGTGTAAAATAATATGTAAAAGTTTTAAAAAAAAATAAATAAATAAATAAAAATAAATAGAAACATTGCCAAATTAAAAACCAAAATTATATTTTGTAATTTTAAAAAAGCTTTTGAATATGGTTTTTAAGTGATATTTCTAGTTTCACAATTTACTTGCATTCAGTCATCAAATATTCTTTTAGGTATGTTAAATATTTAAAGTATTTCTATTGCCTTTGTTTTAACTTTTATCTATTTATGCAAATATTGGCCAAAAATCTCATAAAATTATGTTAATGAATTTACAGTGAAACTTGTTTCTATTTTTTATATCATTTTAGTTCACACTACTTTTAATAAACACACAAAGAGTCTCTATTTTCACCAACTTAAAAACAAAGGTTTTAATGTAACAATTTAATAGAAGAAATACCTACTGTTCATATAACTTGTTCATAATAGTTCATGTTTCAGTTCCATAGTAGATGGTACAACATATTGAGTATCAGATTTGTTCATCTTAATACATTAATGGATGCACACAAATGATCAAATATGAAACAATATTGTTTGCAAAGCATCTT